AAATTTCCCAGCCAGTCGGGAGCTCCACATTTGGCCCACATTTGAACCCCTGCTCTAATTTGCTTGTGCATGTCTGAGGGAAGGAGGATTATAGACTAAAACATGAGATTTAAGGAGGGGACTGAATGCCTGCAGAGGTGCGTAGAGTCACAAGGGTTTTTAGCAAGGTTGCCAACTCTGAATCTATTCCAGGAGGTTTCTAAAATGCCAACATGCCTGCAACACACAATTCAAATGTGCCACATACTTGTGTGTACCAGTCACGCATTATGGTGCTTAGACTTTACATCAGGAAGGCAAACGCATGTTGCTATTACGTTTTAAAAACTCACCAGACTACCATATAAATCAGATTCAACATTTGATATTTCTTTTAATGAATGCCCTATCATTTATCCCTTTGGTGCCCCTCAGCAGTCTCCTGGAGATTTACATCTAATCCCTGGAGGCTCCAGGGCAATCCTGGATGGTCACGACCCTGGTTTTTAGCAGCCAGGGTCCCTCACAGAAGAGGCAGTAGAGCTGAGCAGCAGCAAAGCCCAATATAGGGGCAATCGGTCGCAAAGCTCAGCTTGAGCGGAGAGGAAGCAGAGCAAGAAATAAAGCAAGCAGCAGGCAGCAGATTATGACTGATTTCACTTAATGACATTAGGATGCACGCGGGGCCTCGTGGAGCACCAGATGAACCCGCGCTAACACATGCTGGTGCCTTTCCCAGGCCTCCAGCTGCAGGATTTGTTCCTATCTCTGCCCGTCGCACAGCTGGCGCGTCCAGGGGCCTGTGCCAGGGACACGAAGGGCTGTCCCTACCAGCAGGCGTGGGTAGGCTGACTGTCCTGAGACAAAGCCACTCAGACGGGGTCCTCCTGTAGGACAACCCCCCCCGCCCCTCTTGAAGTCCCTGTGAGGGATATGAATTAACACGTACCCCGGGACCAGTCAGGGCTAAATGTGTGTGTGAACCATTGTCTCGATCTGTCTGGACAAGCCTCCCCCGGTCCCAGCAGCCAGCTGCAGACGGCCACAGGAGTTACAGTTCTAATCCGGATTACGAGCGTCCACACGGATTGCTAACCCTCATTGCTAGGATACCTCGCCCCGTCCCACGTGACACACAGACCCCGCCCACCAGGCTCAGGCCCAAGATGGCCGACGGGGGGGTCACGTGACGCAGCCCCGACGGGGCCTATCCTTTGCGCGCTGACGTTAAGCGTCGCCGGGCGGGTCCCGTGACCGGAAGCTGGGGAGGGGGAGGCGGAAGTGAAAGCGGAGCTGTCGGGGCCCATTAAAGCGGAGCGGAGCGTACAGGCACCTACACTCGCAGCGCCGCGGCCCGACCAGACGGTGAGTGCCACTGTGCCTTCCTGCCGCTCCCGGGCCTCAGAGCGGCGGCGGCGGCGCTGCTGGGGGGTCCCGGGCGGGGCGGTTTGGGGG